TATCCGACATAGAAGAAGGTTTTACATTTAGTGTCGGATTATCGAGTCACGACTGTATGCGTATTCTGATTTGGAGTTCTCGTGTTCGATATGTACTGATAAAGTGTTTACTGCCTCTATGACAGACTAACATTTTATTGTCTAGGCCAAAGTAAACAACAATAAAAAAAAAAAAAAAAAACATAGGACCCCACTTAGGATACGAATCATGTTTTCATATGTGAAAGGTTTGAGTCTGAATAATGCCGTCACTGTCTGATTCCAAAGGCCCACCAACCCTACTTATTGAAAAAAATCGTACGAAGGGGGCACCAGTGTGTCTAGAATCGATGTCAAGGGTTTAAAACCAAGTGTCCTCATGTGAGGAGTTGTTGGACGCCTTGTTGTCAACATCAGAATTGCCTGATGCACTGAAGTGAGCTGCCACAACACACATTAAGATTGCTGCATTGCTCAAAATTTAGTCTTTGATGCCTGTTTGAAATTTCAATTAAATTTATTTCAGTTTTATTTGTATAGCTGCAGATTATCCACGAGTTTTTTATTTGTCACACGCTCATACGGTTTGCGCAGTGAAATGCAAATGAAAGGCTGCGCAGTAGCAATAAGAGCAGTGGAGAAAGGACGAATCTTTAGAAAAACAGAGAAAATTAGAAAATAAATAATGAGGTAGAGATCTTAAACTGAAATGCTGTGTAAAGTGAAAACCCAACACATTCAACAGCAGTGATACCTTTGAGCTAGCGCTTGGCAGCAGTGGGCGGACCTCGGCTAGAACCAGGCTCAGGGAGGGCGGCCATCTGCCTCCACCGGTCGGGCTGAGGTTAAAGGGGAGAGAGGGAACAGGAAATGGCACACAGAAAACAGACAAACAATGCGTGAGAGGACAGAAAGCAGCTGGGAGGTCAGTAGCTGCAGCTAGCTGCACAGCAGAGGACGACGCACAAAATATGGGAAGACACAATGCAGTGTTTTACTGGGAGGAACACTGTGTCATTAAATCATGTAGTAAAATTTTACTATGAGCTCTAATGTGGGAGTAGTGGCACAGATTGTTGTGTTGAGGTCATTGCATGTTTCCGTCCATGCATGTGGTGATTTGGAGAGCGCCACGGGTTACATAAACCCGGCACATCTTTGCTGACGAAGCACCGGCAAAACTAGTCATTGCCCCCTTCTGCCCACCTTTTTTTAATCTCTCTCTCTCTCTCACACACACACACACACACACACACACACACATGCACTGAATGAACACTCAGTCTGGCAGTACGTCCTTATGCTTTAATAAGAGCAATCATGAAGCCAAGCTCCTCTCAGCGTGGCACAACACAGCGACTGTAAGAGAGAAGAGAGGTGAGAAGACAAGTGTCAGCGAGACAGCAGGAAGCAGCGAGATGCAGGGAGGAGGAAGGAGAGGTTGAGCAGAAGGAAGCCAGACTGTCCTTAAAACTTCCACTCTCAAATATATTTTTAAAAAAATAAAAATTAAATCTCCTCGCCTTCTTTAACTCTTCGCTGATCTCGCTGTTGCACCAAAGAGGTCTGCTTGTAGCGAGCTGTGTGGTTGCCTCCATGGCTAAAAGGCTAGCAGCTAAAATAAAACGGGTTGTGTTATTAATAGATTGACAAGTGCATCAAAAGCAGCTTTACAAAAAAAAATAAAAAAATTATCGTAGCTGTATGGTGCAAGAAGTGACACATCACTCAGGCATCCATGAGCAGCGAGTGGAAACGACAACGTGTGAGAGTCGACACGTCATGAGGCGCTGGTTTGCAGGTGTGAAGGAAGGAAAGTGGGAAAAAAAAAAAAAGAGAAAGGAATGAACATCCTACAAATACAGAGACGAACGAATAAATACAGCACAAATTCAAAGGTTTTTTTTTTCTCTCTATGACAAAACGCGTCTTTTCCTTCGATTGCCATTTTGCACAACGAGTGAATCTGCTGCAGCACACATACTGTACATTCCCATGATACGCTACGGACGCTAATCAATACATTTCACCCTCGGATGCGCGCCGGACTGGACACACTCGCTCTTTGTTGTGCTGTCTGTGAATGGCGGTTGTATGTGTGTGTGTGTGTGTGCAGCTCTTTGAAGATGAAAGCCTACTTGGCCTTTCTGCCCACCTCTGGCGCAAACCTTTGATAACACGCTGACCGGTGCACGAGCGCGACACGCAACAGACACGCACAGACAGACATTTCCACTTCAAACATTCCTTTCTCTTTCCTCCTCAGCCCGTCGCGCACTCGCTCTGCTTCAAACGCGCACAAAGACAAACGCACAAATGGCACTTAAACATGTCCGAATGGATTAGCTATTCACTCTACAACCTTGTTGGGTGTCATTTGATTTGTGTGCACCCGTGTGTGTGTGTTGACCTATCTGTTGTAGTAAATTGCCAGAGTGGTTTGGCACTGGGAATAAGCTAGTTGTT